TAAGTAAGGCAGGATCAAGAACTAATGACCTCCACACTCATCTCCTTAATTACCTAAGTAAGACAACCAAGAAAAATCCAAAGACATGGACGCGGCAAGGAGATTGATGGAGTTGTGTGTCGTTTTGCAATACCACCTCACCGCCTCTCGCTGCCAGTGTGTTGCAACCACGTAGACTAATCTAATGCGGTGAGAGTTGTCTTTAATGAAGGACTGGTTTTGATCTGTCAATTTTCCTTATTATCGCTTGATTAATTATAACCTGTGGAAATACGTGAGTGATATCTTTTAAATATAAGTTTAAATAATTGATGGAATATGTTATTGTCAATAGTCACAATTATTGAATATATATAAATATTAAACTAAAATTCCACATAAGTATCTAGAAAAATGGGGTTATTATTATTTCTTTGTAGATGTCTCAAAAAGGCATGGAAATACGTGAGAACTATTTTTATTTATTTTACACGCATGGTCATCTAAGCGCATACTAGAATAAGAGGTAAAATGATATATATCTCGGAGCACATCACTATTTTTATTTTTTATATATTAGTGTTAAGTTTATTTATTTTTCTTGATAAATAGTTTGTCATAAAATAATTTTTTTAATCTTCGTTTTATAGTTGATTTCTCATTTTTTTTTAAAAAAAAAAGAATGAAGCAACAATTTTTTTATCTATTACCACGAAAAAGAATTAAATTATCACTATTTTCATTATTAGAAAATAAAAAACTATCAATAAAATATTTTGTTGGTTTTTAAAAAAGTTCGTTGGTATTTAATTGCCGGTGAAATTTCTAATAAAAACTTGTTATTAGCAAGTTACTCATCGGGGATTGTTGATTTATAGGTATTCTCATAAAAAATTTAATTGCCATGGGATTTTAAAAAAAAATTGATAGATTATTTATGGTAAAAAATTAGATTTTATTGCTTAGTTTCTATCAGTAAATTCATTGAAAATTAATTTCTGATTGAATTATCTTTGCTCAATTAAGAAATACCTTATGAAAAATAGATGATGGTTACATTAGAAGATATAGGTAAATGACAATTTATAACCGATTAATTTTTATACAAGGATATGATTTAAGAAATATATAGTATATATATTGATAGGTATTCTCAAAGTTATAACAGATCGATGCGGTTTAGATTTTATTATCGAGTGATTACTCAATCTTAATTTGTGCTTATTTAAGTTTAAATAATATTTAATGCATCATTTGCTTCGTACAACAATTAATAACATCTACCTGGTGTCAAGAATCTATTTGAACCCTATAGCAAGTGTGAGTGCGAGTGTGATACGAGATGCGTGGCCACCCGATTTTAAAAAGCAAAAAAGCCAAGTCAAGGAAGGCAGAAAGAAATTTCCGATGAACAGTGCTTGGATTAAGCGTTCCGATGGCCTATATATTTACCAACGAAGCAAGTTGAGACATTATAGTGGAACTTCGCCGACCTGAAATCTCAATTCCTACTTCGGCACTCTCCAGGGTACAGCTAGCCGTTGAAGTTATTCTAGTTACATCCTCAGTTGCCATGAGTTTTAACTTCTTTTTATTTATTTATATTTATTTCTGTTTTATGTTGACCATGGTGTGATCTGCCGAGTAGAAAATCATAGAGAAGCTTTCCGTCGTTATACGTCTCAGCACAAAATATAATGAAGGGTTTCGGTGGGTCTACAAAGCTGGTGGACTGAAGATTTTCCGAAGAAGTTCTTACACCAGCCACTGAGGGACCTATATATCCATGTGGGCAATGCATGTTATTTTTTTAGGTAACTCGAGGTATGATTATTCTTATAAAATTTAATTTACATGATGTGGTTACAAATATATTTGGGCGGAGAATGTTATTTTATTTATTTATTTTATAATCATGAAATAAATATTGTTGCTTCTCTGATCTCTCTTTTCTTTGCATTTGCTCTGTAATTCTTATCCGGATGCCTGGGGAGGTGAGGAATGAAAGGCAATAAAGAGAGAATATAATTTTTGGTCATCGTCTTCATAATTAATTTATGCAAAAGTTTCTTCATTAATTCCAAAAGCACCACGTGTATAGTACTCCCATCCAAATCTTGCATATATAACGTCTACCTTTCGATATCCCACAGGCCATATCCGAATGTTTGCCCTACATGCATGTGTGCTGAACCCTAGACATGCAGCTTCTGCGAAGCTTCCTCCCTCCCTCCATCCCTCAATTTAGGTAATATTGCTTTCAAATCTTGGCTTAACTTCTGAAATCCCAATTTTTGAAACAAAAACCCACACTTATTTTTAAAAGATACAGGAATGCTAGATGTGTTAATTTTTAATCAAATTAATTCTCACAAGGTACGTAATATATAGGTCTCTTGATGGAATCCATTTGTTTTAAGTGGATTTTTTTTTTTGGGCAGCGGGGTATATGTAGATATATACTATGGTTATCTAATTATATGTGATTATCAAGTTCTTGCTATTAAAATCAGGTTATGTTTTGTATTGTGATTTGAAAATATATTTAAATATTATTTTTTTATTTTTTAAAATTTATTTTTTATATATTTAAAAAAAAAACCCAAAAAATTAAATTTAAAATAAAAATAATAGTCTCGAAATACATGGTTTATAAGAAGACAATTCCGTGCAAGAATATATCGTGCATGCAGACACACATACACTCTGAGACGACAATAATTACGAGGTCAGGCAATTTCCTCGAAGTTTCGTCTTCGTAGAAAGGTCGGCAGACAGGGACCACCCTTTTGTTTGCTTTACATGTTATCGAAGGATGACAGATGTTTTAAAACAGCATAGGTTTCCTGTCAATCTTGGAATTGTAATAGCTGTTGCAGATATTTAAAAAACATTATTTTTAATTAAGATTAATTTTTAAAATATATATATTTGATTAAAATTTTAATTGAAATTAAAATTAAATAAAAAATAATTTAATGTATTTGGTTAAAAGAATGTTTTTTGTTATAAAATAATATATGTATATATATTGATGGTTTTTAATTTAATTAAATATTATAGATTTAACTACTATTATTACATTATAAAATAAATAATATTGATATCAAATATTTTTTATTATTATATTAAATTTGTGTAATTTCATCGCGTAAAAAATCTGTCTATTAAGAGCTATATTTTTTATGATTTCTTAAGCATGCAACAATATTATATAAAAATATTATTAAAAATAAAATTGAGATTGCAATCAAATTCTATAAATATTATATTATCAAACGATTTTCTTCTAATTTTTCAAATAAAACATAATTAAAAATAAAAATAAAAACTAAATTTTTTTAAATGGATAAAACCCAGCAATAATAAAATTAGAATTGTGATTAAATTCTACAAATACTATGTCATCAAATGAATTTTTTTTAATTTTTTGAATAAAATACAATTAAAAATAAAAATAAAAACTAATTTTTTTAACTAGATCAAACTTGGCAATAACAAAATTGAAATTGTGATCAAATTATACAAATGTTACGTTATCAAATAATTTCTTTTAAATTTTTTGAATAAAACACAATTAAAAAAATAAAAATTAATTTTTTTAATTAAGTCTGATCCAATATAATTAACTTTAAATTACATCTGGTCAGGCTAAACCAATAATTAAAATAGTAAAAATACCTTCATGAACAGTAAAATCATTTAAATCAACAATGGAGAGTTTCATGCTACAGATTTGAAAAAAAAAAGGGCATAGAGTTGTTTTCCTTGAACCTGTAATTTTAACCAATTTTAAATGGTCCAACATAAATAGTATATTGTGATTCTTTCATTACCAAGCATTTAAAAGTCATGATTTGCTTTGAAAATAACCACAGCTGCGTAAACATATAATTACGACTTGTTTGGAAGTTTTGAAACATGATTGAGTTAATTTTTTAAATATTTTGTATTTAAAAATATATTAAAATAATATTTTTTTAATTTTAAAAAAATTATTTTTAATATCAATATATTAAAATAATCTAAAAATATTAAAAAAATATTAATTTAAAATAGAAAAATTAATTTTTTTAAATACAAAAATAAACATTGCTAACTTAACGAGTGGTTCAAGACATTCATATATACGAGGTAGTACTTAACAGCTTCAAAGACCGACCATTGATTCTCGAGTTGAATTTGTTCGATGTCACAGCTGAAATATCTTCCAGTTGAGCCCACCTCAAAACTACGTGTCATACTGCCAGTTTACGCCGCCTTGAGTAGTTGAAGGAAAAGACAACGAAAATGAAGGAAAAGCTAAACAGAAACGCAACCTCTGCCGAACTGAATAATTTGAGTTCAATGCATCAAACTATTATAATTTTTATATTTAGAATAAAATAATAAATTCTATAATTAAATTTAATTATACAATTGAATTAAATTAACAATCTTTATTATATATTAACATTTTTTACTGTTTTGTCAATGATGACCCCTTGACAAATAAAGCCCTCTGTTTGCTAGTTACAAAACTTGTTCCAAACAATGCATTTCCCTTGAGAGCTACTACTGCAGTTCCATTTACTCTGATGTTGAGCTTCTACATATAATTCGGAGTGCTATGAAAACACAGAGCTGGACAATGAGCTTGATTATAGAGGGCATCCATTTTCTTTCTTTCCCCGATTAGAATACAACATGTTTTATAGTTGGATCTGGAAGAAAGTAACAAAGAAATTCACATGTTTTTTGTTTGTAATTCCAGAAGGTAGCATGAATGTACCAATTTGTTTGTCGTTACAGTTACTAGGCTTGACTAAATCAAACTGCATTTCGGTTGGGTTTGTTTTAACTGGATGACTTGGAACAACTAATCTGGTTTGTTTTCGTCTGATGTTGTGTTGTCCTTTTGTGTTTAACCTGTGAGATTAGTTTGCCAATCCTTAAAACATTTTTGTTTGTTTGAAATTGAAATGGTTTCTGATGCATCCAAATAAAATGGACCAACCCCCCCAATAAACCCAAAAAATCTCTTGGACAACATAAAGCATGATCAGATTAGTCAACATCAGGATCCAAAGATATCCATTAGCATTTTTCATTACAGGTAACTAATGATTATTGCATATCGCAATGACACAAAATGAACACCCTTCAAATTTGTTTACTATGCAGACTAAATGATAGTTTTATTTTTTATTGTTAGTTTAAGCAACCCACCATGATTAACATGCGTTGATGCAAAAGTAAAACCAATCAGCTCGCCATCGCCATGTGGTTGCTCCATTAAATATCAAATGCTTTCAATGTTTTTGTGTTTCAAACTCTTAAATATCCTGTTATACCTGCGGCATCGGGCGGGTAATTCACCTGGTTAACTCTATTTGGTATCCTGACACTTGATCTTTGGGTGTGATACAGTAAACACGGGATCCGAGATGCTCCACTTGTAACCCGGCGCTCTCACAACCATCAAAGAAGAGAGATTCGTCCTCCTTGCCAATTCTACGTCTCCAACTCATTAAAAAAGCTGGCCTAGGCAACCCGATATTATGTGCTCCTGCCAGTATCAGACCAAAAACAAATCATCAAATTCTTGAGCTTGACATTCTACTTTCACCTCTTGAAATGGAGAGCATGATACCTCCATTCTGCTCATTTTCCACGATAGAGCCTGCTCTGTCATTTTTCAGCTTGTAAGAATTGAGGAGAAAGGAAAGTGTTTTTATCAAGTTTGGATACTGTTTCACATCTGCACAGAATAAAGGAGAACAAAAAAATCTTACGAAATTTCTTAAAGAAAGAGAGATGCAAGAAATCAAAAGTGAAGTTTCAATCAAATATGGACGAATTTCAATATAACCAGGATATCAATTTCTTGACCATCAAACATGACATGTTATGTTACAAGACAGAATACTCAATTATTTGTTCTCTACAATTATACAAAAACTGTATTACTCGAGTCACTTTGCAATATGGTTCTATTTTTCACTTTGCAACAATTAAGTAAATCAAAAGAATTGAGTTACTAAATCCATAACAAAAGCACTTAATAAAGGGGCATAAAAGTTAAGAAACTAACGAATAATAAAGATCCATGATTCCCAGATCTAGGGTCCAAAGTACAGTATCAACTATGAAACAATCTCCAAGGAAGTTGGTTACCCATGAATGGAAAAAAAAAAAAAAAATCTTTATTCCGAACCATCAGATAATTGTGCCATCAAGAATGAACTTTCAAGGGGGCATTAGTTATGCATTCATATCAACAAGAAACTTAATCTTCTTTTTGGTTTTCGAGTTTTTGTGAGTCTTCCTATGCTTTACAGGATCATGATTTCATTGCTTTTCTTGAATGGTGTTTTTCAATCACAAAAGGAAAATATCAATCAGAGAATTAATTGAATCAAGTAACTTCTCATTTCTGTAAAGGGCATTATTCAATTTGCAGGTGATAAATTAGAAACTTACACAGTAAAATATCACTAGCTATAACCAGATCCCAGTCAAGATCAGCAGCTGGAAAGGTGTCTCCCCAAGAATCTAGATAAACAGAAACATTCTTGTTGAACATAATCCAGTCCCAGAAAAATCACATAAAATGAAAAATACAATAAATGATAAACAATTAAAAGAATGCTATGACAAGACGATTAAAAGTTCTATATCTATAAAAGAAACCAGTTTTAAATTCCAGCCATGATGATTACTACTATGCCTCTCATAATCATCACAAAGAAAGAAGGTCACATATGGATGATCACACCCACCTGATAGCCTGCATAGGATCATGCGGAAGAGATTACACTAGCCACGTTATCTATCAAGTTGATTCACAATGAACATTTAGTTTCCCAGACGTACAAGAAAGTTGGGAACCCTGAAGAACCATATGCTTACAAGAGTCTACTGAATAATTGCAGGTAATATCTTTCTTTGTTAGTTAGAGGATGAGGCAACTCACGCCTAATGTGAGGAAGGACTGGTGTGACTCCATTCACTCTGCAATTGTGAGCTATGTTTTCTTCAATTTCCTGATCATTATAGTCTGATGTTGTGATGTCAAGATGGAATGATTTATGAAGAAAAATGGCCAAAGCTCCAGTGCCACTGCACAAATAGAAGTGTCCATATCAGCAAGAGAAGAATAATGGTTTCAAAGTAAAAAACAAGTGGAGCAGCTGGTAAATTACTAGGTAAGACAAAATTTAAGGCCCTCAATTGAAAATAACACAGGACACATTGTGATGCAGCTTGAAGAAAATGAAACTGCAGTTAATAATCCTAATGAGGAGGTTTATACCTTGGCCCATTGATTCAAGGCTCAAATCTCCAAATTAATGGCTAAAAAACATGTAGGAAGCGTAGGGAACTCAAGGGGCACACATACAAGACTTGACCACAGATGTTAAGCACAAAAATATATATTTATTTAACTTTATTAGACAGTAGAATACCTCACAGTTATGATCCCACCATTTTATAAGAGTTTTTGAAAAATAGATTGACATTGATGCACAGTAAACCAATCAACTTGAAGTAAGGCCAAACATGAAATGGGAAAAGAAGGTAGATGATAGGAATTTAACCATGAATTATCACCTCAAATAGCCTTTCGTAGAAGAAGGTTGAGCAATACTACTGAAAATCTAATACCATCAGAGACAAGGAGCAAGAATGATACCTGCCCAATTCAATGCAATGCCGCCCTTCAACCAATGGCCTGTTCTGAACTAACCATTCTGCAAATGCAAATGTCCCTGGCCAGAGCAAATTAGCATTCAATTTGTGAAAAGAGAATTCTCTAATGAGCAACTCCTGCAAACAGGATAAAACATGAAAAGGTTAGAAGATCATGAGGTTTTCCTCAGTCTTGACAACAAGCATCCCTTAAATATTGCAACCACTCTTTTGCTTTCCATTGTTATAAAATCACTACACAAAGTCCCTAATATCATGGACTAAGCCCGTATACAAGAAACCACCCTAACCAAGGTTGTCAAAATGCATTTTTGACATGACACAAAAAATGCAATGTAAACTTGGATTGTAAATCATAAGTAATTTTTTTTTTTCATATATAGTTCAAGCACTTTTAAATACACGATTCAAGTAAAAATTCATTCATAGTTTGAATAATTTAAAAATACAATACAATTATCCATGTCCATAGATTTTCATTAACTAAAATTAACAAACCTAAAACAAACAATTTCTTGATGTGTCATATAAACTAAACTAGTCTCATTGCCTTCACCAAGGATACAGATAGTTTAGGAGCTTGGCTATGCTGTGAAATAATCTCCAAATACTTCAAAAGCTAGTCAAAATTAAAATCAGAGGCCAGTCCATAAGTTAGTAGCTGCAGAAATCCTAAAACTTCTAAAGAATGCGCAGGGTTAGCTCTCAATTTTTTTTTACTCCAATCACAGGCAATTTCCATTTTAAAATTATTTCTTCCGCACCTTCTATTTTGAAAATACATAAATTCATTTTAAAATTATTTTCGAGATTATTTTTATATTTTTTTCTCTATTTCTCTAACCAAACATATTTTTATTTTTACTGCCCTTATTTTTCTATCTCAAAACAGTAATTAAATACTATTTAAAAAACTATGTAAAAATATTATTTATCATCATTCATTTAGATACAAAGCATTCTAGATAGCAACAATGCTTTATTTTTTTTTAATTCGTGCTACTATAAGCCCAAATTGATGGTTAATTTAAGCAAATTTGTTGACAAATGGCAAGATTCAATGAAAGAATCCAAGTGAAAAATAAGTGGTAGTTTAAAAATGAGTTGAAAAATTCATTTTGATCGTTTTATTTTTTAAATGACAAGAGAAGTCCTTTTCTCTGCATGCAGAACTGGAGGCCTTTGCATAAACTTGTGTGGTTGATTTAGTTCCTCGTGCTCAATGTTCCTTATTAAGTTAGTAAACATGCTTTTATTTGGCTAAGAAGTAGATATTCATTCTGATGAAAACTCTTGATTATGTGATCAATAAATTTCCAATAAAATAGATAATAATATGAAAAGTTAAAAATTAGATTTGATAAAACTCTAATTTAACAATAAAACTTTTTTGGATTGAAAGCTAATAATCCTAAATTAGTAATTAATTATTATAAATTTAATAATAAAATAAATCTCTAAACAATATCTAATAAGTAAGAATAAATCTAAATTAAAAATAAATAAATAATATTAAATAAATAAAATAGGATAATGAAAACAAAATTTTTATACTAAAATTTCTTGATGCAACCTGAAATTTTATATTTCTTGTATTCTTAGGAGATTTTGATCCTGATTTTAAATATATCATTTTTTTTATATTAAAGAATTAATAAGCCTACCATATACTATATATGATTGAAAAATTTGATATATCTAGATCAATTTTAACCACAGCAACACCCCCCTATAGTAAAGTTAATTATCTAAATAAATCTTCCTAATTCAAATTCGATTTGAGTTAGTGCACATAACGTAGCAGCTATTGACATAGCAAAACATGCAATATAGATAAAAACTCGAAACGCCACTTGAGCAATCTAGATAAATGGATCGTGCATAGAGAATTTGTTTATTAAAGGATAACATGCTTAAGAGCTGTCTTTAATTATAAAGCAAGAATATAGTTTAAATGTCAAATATATGTTTTTGTTTTCCTTCATGGAGACGTATATATGTCGTTATATACTCGTTTACAGCATATAGAATGCTGATGTACGGAGTGCAATACATAGCAATCCATAAATTATTCGTCCCTATTTGGCTTGGAATGAGTCAAAGGATTGCTTGACTAACATTGTTATGTACTTGTAGCTTGGCTTATTGGTTTAACAAACAAGCGCAGGGGCTGTTTTACACTAACATAGTATAATTGTTTTGAGCAGCCTGGGTATTAAATATAATATTTCAAAAAGGCTTTGACAATGCAGAGGCTGTGCCAATAGCCTCACCCTGAAAAAACCGTGGGCTTTGGTTTCAATCTAACGATCATTTTTTTATTTAAAAATAATATTTTTTAATATTTTTATATTTTGATATAGTATATTCAAATAATCTGAAGATAAAATAAATTAATTTAAAATAAAATAAAAAAATTTAAAAGTTTTCTAAAAAACAAAAATAAATAGACTCGTTGACAGTAATACTCGAAAACCCCAAACCCACCTTTAACAGATCCCATCTCTCTCCGCTATTAAGTATTAACCCCCTTCTATCAGGACAAAACTGTCATTTCCTCTCACACGCCACTCTCAAAGCACCTCGCCGGAACCAAACCCAAAAAGAAACCTCCCCTTTTAAACCAAATCTGAAGAAAAAAAATTACGAAACCGTAATTTCTTCTCGATTTCAAATCGAGAGAGCGTTGAAAAATGGGAGATTTCAATTTAGCACTGGTAATCGTAGCTATAGTAGTATGCATCATCGTGCTCTTGTTCAATGTCTACCTCCTAGTCAATTACCAGCATCCGGACGATAAGAATCAAGCTTATTTTCCCAAATTCGTTGTCGTTTTTGGCCTGTCCGTTGCCGCTATCTCGATTTTGATGTTACCGGCAGACGTAGCGAACCGGCAAGCGTGTCGTCATGCGATTTATAATGGCGCTTGTAATCTTACCTTGCCAATGAAGGATCTGTGGATTGCTGTATACATTGTTGATGCTGTGCTTGTTTTTTTCATTATTCCTTTTGCGATGTTTTACTATGAAGGGGATCAGGACAAGTACGTTTTTTTATTTGATTTTTTAGGAGATTATTAATTTGTAAATTGAATCTCATTTTAATCGGGTTCGTAATTTTATCCTTTTGGCTTGCAGGAGTGTAGCTAAAAGAATTAAAAGTGCTTTATTGTGGGTTATAACAACGGCGATTGTGTGTGGTCTTGTGCTCGGCATTTTATACGGTATAGTTGATATATATATATATATATATATATATGATTTTAATTAGTAATTTTTTATTGAAGAAAACCAAAATGTATGTTGAGGCGTGGTTGAGATGGTTTGTTTTAAATATTTAGCTAAAGAATGGTGTATGAAGTATTCTTTTGGAGTTCATGAATTGATGCGGTACAGTTAGAAATGTGAGTCATTGAGCTAATAATTGATGATTTAAATCAGCTAGATGAAATTCTTATGGTTAGATGATGTTCGGGTGAGGATTTTGTTTAATGGGCGTGTGTGCTTAGTTGTTGAGGGTAACTTTCTATGTGTTACATGATTAGATGAAGGTTTAGTAGGTTGGTGTTGTGTTCGTGTTGATTGATTAGAATGTAATGTACATGCTATTGGTTTAACTCTTTTTGTGGTTATATTAGGGGTTATTGGAAAAGTTGACTTCACTGTTAGGCATCTCTCTTCGACCACAACTACTTTTCCGAGTACTTGGGCTTTCTCTGGCAGTCAACCATGTATTGGAAGTGGTTCACACCAGGTTCTGTTTCTGTATAGTTGGTTAGCTATGTTGTTGTGGTATATTATTTTACCTGTATTTGCTTCTTATATTGCAGTTTAATAGTGCAATTAAGGAACTTTGAAACTTATTCTTATGCATGTTCCTGTGTTTTCATTTTTCTCATTTTTGATTTTCTGGTTGCAGTGCTCTGCATATCTTGCAAATGCTTCCTCAGAGAAAACTTGGACCATGCGTGCCACATTTCCAGAATATGTTGTTGCTCTTGCTACAATTGTTGGATCTGTACTCTTTGCGGTATGATCATTCATGCAGACTTTTGGCTTCTGATTTTATTAAAAAATTCTGTTCTTTTGTGAAATATGGAATCAAATTTTGAGTGTGGTTTAGTGCCCCTCTATGAGTTCATCAAAGATCAATGGTTTGAAAAGAGTTGGTGCCTGGGTAAAGGTTCTGTGATGAAAACATGTGGATGCCTAAATATGTGCAAGTCTCCAAAGACCATACTCATTTGTCATAAAAATTCCTTTATGTGTGAATTTCCTTTCAGCTTTGTCCATGTGGAAGAATATCGTATATAATATGCTCTCTCATTTGTTCAGATATTTGGTGGTGTTGGGATTGCTTGTTTGCCCCTGGGACTTATCTTCTCTTTCATCAGGCGTCCAAAGGCTGTTATCACACGGTCACAGTATATTAAGGTTGTTTCGTCCTTGCATGACAAGTAGTAGTGTGCAACTACATACCTTAAATAGTTAAGGGAAAGTTCATAAATTTTCTGGTTCTTATGGATAGCTGTTAATATCATGCAGGAAGCAACTGAACTTGGTAAAAAAGCGAGAGAACTGAAGAAAGCAGCTGATGCACTCCATCAGGAGGAAAGAAGTGGTTCCAAGGGTAGAAAATGGCGTAAAAATGTCAAGTCAGTAGAAAAGGTAACTGTGAAGTTCTGTGCTGCATGCTTTTAATTAGCCTCTCTCCCCCCCTCTTTCTTTCATTGTTGTGCAGTGGGTTCAGTGCATGCTCGGTGTACTGTTAAGCAGGCAGGGTTTGAACTTGAATTTGTGGCTGACTGGCTGTTTTTTCTGTGTTGCTCACCCTAAAGCTTTGAGAATTCTAGTTTAGATTCAGACTTGAGTTTTACAAAACTTAGTTGATTCTGTTTATTTTCTGAATTAAAAGATGGGTGTAAATCAAGTAATTTTTGTTTCCATGCTATGATTTAGTATGATTGTTAAAATGTTTTGGAACTTAAATCAAAGTATTTTATTTCTTTCGAATACCTGTACAAGCTCAAGATTTTAATATAAGTTGGTTGGTTACTACAAAAAGTGGTTACGAACAATTTGATGGTTTGGTCAGTTCATTTTTAATCTCTGTATTGGTTGCTGGACTTAATT